CAACATGCGACTCATCGTGACGTAGAAAAATAAAAAAAAAGTGTTGTATTTGCATTTAATATTCCCTATTGACAATAACAAAAACCAACAAACTCAATATGAATAAAAGAAGAGGAGAATTAAACCAAAAAAAAAAGTCAAAATATACAAAATAATAAAAAAGCTATGATTTCAAAACCAATTACAGCGCAATTGCATTTACACTACACTATGGTATACCATAGTATATTGTAGTAAAATTACAAACGTGCAAACAAACACACACGTGAACTGCAAACATACATGGCGACAAGCATACATGGAGGTTTTCGTAGTTTTTATTGTTTAGATTTGTTGTATTCTTTCATTTGATCGCATGTGGCCCAGTTTTCAACTTAATTTTTTTTACCAAACTCAGCTTAAAACTTACAACCAAACGACAGCAACAACTTCAAATGAAACTAAATATACTTTTAAATTGTTACAAAGAAGAAAAAAGTAAAATGCATTGAAAAGATCATGTGGTAGTTTATTGTTGTAAAGAGGTAGATGATGACGTTAAGTTAAAGAGTTTTTGTTTTGGCCAATTCAGTTAAATGATTTGCTGCTGTTGGTTTATATGATTGCTTATGATTTTATAATGAATTTTAAAGATGACTTTTTCTTTAAATGTTTATTATTGTTGAACAGTAATAAATAGATTTTGGTTCGTTATGTTTGAAATGATTTGATACGCTAAAGAAATTGATGTAATGACAAATTAAGGTTTTTTATAAGAGTTGATTCGAAAATACAAAAATTTTTAAAATAGAAGACTAAAATTGGAGAAATATTACTTATACATGTATTAAAAAGTTAATTTCATATAATTACTGGATCAGTTCATTTAATCAATCAACTAATTTAAAATTTTGGAAAAATAAAGAATCATAAAAAAATCTATTACTTTTGATAAAACTTTACCTTTTGTTAAATCAGTTCTAGTTCAGTTCTAGTTCAGTTCTAGTTCAGTTCTAGTTCAGTTCTAGTTCAGTTCTAGTTCAGTTCTAGTTCAGTTCTAGTTCAGTTCTAGTTCAGTTCTAGTTCAGTTCTAGTTCAGTTCTAGTTCAGTTCTAGTCAGTTCTAGTTCAGTTCTAGTTCAGTTCTAGTTCAGTTCTAGTTCAGTTCTAGTTCAGTCTAGTTATTCTAGTTCAGTTCTAGTTCAGTTCTAGTTCACTCTAGTTCGTTCTAGTTCGGTTCTAGTTCAGTTCTAGTTCAGTTCTAGTTCAGTTCTAGTTCAATTCTAGTTCAGTTCTAGTTCAGTTCTAGCTCAGTTCTAGCTCAGTTCTAGCTCAGTTCTAGTTCAGTTCTAGTTCAGTTCTAGTTCAGTTCTAGTTCAGTTCTAGTTCAGTTCTAGTTCAGTTCTAGTTCAGTTCTAGTTCAGTTCTAGTTCAGTTCTAGTTCAGTTCTAGTTCAGTTCTAGTTCAGTTCTAGTTCAATTCTAGTTCAGTTCTAGTTCAGTTCTAGTTCAGTTCTAGTTCAGTTCTAGTTCAGTTCTAGTTCAGTTCTAGTTCAGTTCTAGTTCAGTTCTAGTTCAGTTCTAGTTCAGTTCTAGTTCAGTTCTAGTTCAGTTCTAGTTCAGTTCTAGTTCAGTTCTAGTTCAGTTCTAGTTCAGTTCTAGTTCAGTTCTAGTTCAGTTCTAGTTCAGTTCTAGTTCAGTTCTAGTTCAGTTCTAGTTCAGTTCTAGTTCAGTTCTAGTTCAGTTCTAGTTCAGTTCTAGTTCAGTTCTAGTTCAGTTCTAGTTCAGTTCTAGTTCAGTTCTAGTTCAGTTCTAGTTCAGTTCTAGTTTCAGTTCTAGTTCAGTTCTAGTTCAGTTCTAGTTCAGTTCTAGTTCAGTTCTAGTTCAGTTCTAGTTCAGTTCTAGTTCAGTTCTAGTTCAGTTCTAGTTCAGTTCTAGTTCACTTCTAGTTCAGTTCTAGTTCAGTTCTAGTTCAGTTCTAGTTCAGTTCTAGTTCAGTTCTAGTTCAATTCTAGTTCAGTTCTAGTTCAGTTCTAGCTCAGTTCTAGCTCAGTTCTAGCTCAGTTCTAGTTCAGTTCTAGTTCAGTTCTAGTTCAGTTCTAGTTCAGTTCTAGTTCAGTTCTAGTTCAGTTCTAGTTCAGTTCTAGTTCAGTTCTAGTTCAGTTCTAGTTCAGTTCTAGTTCAGTTCTAGTTCAGTTCTAGTTCAGTTCTAGTTCAGTTTCTAGTTCAGTTCTAGTTCAGTTCTAGTTCAGTTCTAGTTCAGTTCTAGTTCAGTTCTAGTTCAGTTCTAGTTCAGTTCTAGTTCAGTTCTAGTTCAGTTCTAGTTCAGTTCTAGTTCAGTTCTAGTTCAGTTTAGTTCAGTTCTAGTTCAGTTCTAGTTCAGTTCTAGTTCAGTTCTAGTTCAGTTCTAGTTCAGTTCTAGTTCAGTTCTAGTTCAGTTCTAGTTCAGTTCTAGTTCAGTTTAGTTCAGTTCTAGTTCAGTTCTAGTTCAGTTCTAGTTCAGTTCTAGTTCAGTTCTAGTTCAGTTCTAGTTCAGTTCTAGTTCAGTTCTAGTTCAGTTCTAGTTCAGTTCTAGTTCAGTTCTAGTTCAGTTCTAGTTCAGTTCTAGTTCAGTTCTAGTTCAGTTCTAGTTCAGTTCTAGTTCAGTTCTAGTTCAGTTCTAGTTCAGTTCTAGTTCAGTTCTAGTTCAGTTCTAGTTCAGTTCTAGTTCAGTTCTAGTTCAGTTCTAGTTCAGTTCTAGTTCAGTTCTAGTTCAGTTCTAGTTCAGTTCTAGTTCAGTTCTAGTTCAGTTCTAGTTCAGTTCTAGTTCAGTTCTAGTTCAGTTCTAGTTCAGTTCTAGTTCAGTTCTAGTTCAGTTCTAGTTCAGTTCTAGTTCAGTTCTAGTTCAGTTCTAGTTCAGTTCTAGTTCAGTTCTAGTTCAGTTCTAGTTCAGTTCTAGTTCAGTTCTAGTTCAGTTCTAGTTCAGTTCTAGTTCAGTTTAGTTCAGTTCTAGTTCAGTTCTAGTTCAGTTCTAGTTCAATTCTAGTTCAGTTCTAGTTCAGTTCTAGTTCAGTTCTAGCTCAGTTCTAGTTCAGTTCTAGTTCAGTTCTAGTTCAGTTCTAGTTCAGTTCTAGTTCAGTTCTAGTTCAGTTCTAGTTCAGTTCTAGTTCAGTTCTAGTTCAGTTCTAGTTCAGTTCTAGTTCAGTTCTAGTTCAGTTCTAGTTCAGTTCTAGTTCAGTTCTAGTTCAGTTCTAGTTCAGTTCTAGTTCAGTTCTAGTTCAGTTCTAGTTCAGTTCTAGTTCAGTTCTAGTTCAGTTCTAGTTCAGTTCTAGTTCAGTTCTAGTTCAGTTCTAGTTCAGTTCTAGTTCAGTTCTAGTTCAGTTCTAGTTCAGTTCTAGTTCAGTTCTAGTTCAGTTCTAGTTCAGTTCTAGTTCAGTTCTAGTTCAGTTCTAGTTCAGTTCTAGTTCAGTTCTAGTTCAGTTCTAGTTCAGTTCTAGTTCAGTTCTAGTTCAGTTCTAGTTCAGTTCTAGTTCAGTTCTAGTTCAGTTCTAGTTCAGTTCTAGTTCAGTTCTAGTTCAGTTCTAGTTCAGTTCTAGTTCAGTTCTAGTTCAGTTCTAGTTCAGTTCTAGTTCAGTTCTAGTTCAGTTCTAGTTCAGTTCTAGTTCAGTTCTAGTTCAGTTCTAGTTCAGTTCTAGTTCAGTTCTAGTTCAATTCTAGTTCAGTTCTAGTTCAGTTCTAGTTCAGTTCTAGCTCATCAGTTCAGTTAGTTCAGTTCTAGTTCAGTAGTAGTCAAGTTCAGTTTCTATTTTCAGTTCAGTTATTTTCAGTTCTAGTCAGTTCTAGCTCAGCTATAGTCAGTTCTATTTCAGTTTCATAGTGCAGTTCTAGTTCAGTTTCAGTTCTTTCCTAATTCATTTAGTTCGTTCTATCAGTTATTGTTCTAGTTCAGTTTAGTCAGTTCTAGTTCAGTTCTAGTTTCAGTTAAGTCTAGTTCAGTCTAGTTCAGTCTAGTTCAGTTTAGTTCAGTTCTAGTAGTTCTAGTTCCGTTAGTTCGCGAATTAGTAATATGTTATCTATAAAAAGCAAACTACATAAAAATGCATTTATAAATTTGATTATTTTCGAAAAATCAGCGAAAATCTTAGTATTTTACAAAAAAGTGTCACTTTATCGGAATTATAAGAAAGTTATTCACGAATTTTTTAGTAATCAGTTGAAAAAGCTATTACACAAGTTTCTTTTAGTTTTATGGAGTTTTACTCTCCTTCTCTATATTTTTATTATCAATCAATCAATGGGTTGACGTTTTATAAAATTAATATTATAGTTTGTTAATTTTGTAAACTAATAAAAAATCAAGGAATTTTCGATATAAAAAATAACACTTTAATCAGCATTTCTTTCTAGAGTTATAGCAGACTGATGGGAATATAAATTAAATTTAAATATTATTCATCATGTTAAAAAAAAAGATCTTTTTTCAGTTTTAATCTTAAAATAGATAAGGGGTTTTCATTGATCATTCATCAACAAAAAAATTTCACTTTAATTAGCATAACTATAGACAGATATTCAAATACACCACAAAATACTCTTTAAAAAACACCGACTGATGCGTTAAAATTTTAATTCATTTTTTTTAAATTTTTTCGCTTTAAATCTATTTTGTTTATATGGTTATTCATAATTTAATTTATCAAAATTCGCTATATATTACAAAAACAATGAATAGATAATGTCTTATTTAAAGAAAAATTTATTAATTAAGACAGAAATTGCAAAGAAAAAAATACTTTCTATTGATGTGATTTATTGGATCTTTTAAAGGCGATCTTTTGATATTTTGATTAAAACAGTGTAAAGTTAGTTTTAATATAAACAATTTTTATAAATGTCAACTTTAAGTTTGTATTAATAGCATATGGAATTAAAATATTGTAAATATGTATTTTTAGTAATTATTTTTCTCAAAAAATTAAGTTAATTAAATTTTATTTTAAATAATACTAAATTTTAATCATTATTTTGTTTTTTTTCATTGCAGGCATTTGTTAAACTGGTAAGTTTTATAAACTTTTTGTTATTAATTTTATATTTTTTAATCTGGCAACTTTTTATTTCGGTTTTTGTCTATGATAAATGTATTATGTTTTTGTAAAATAAGCTTTTTTAACTTTTCATCGGAATAATAGTCGTGGCGACAATAATGATGACACCAACCGAACTTTATTAAATATGCAGGAAAATCAAAAAGGTACTAGTAGAGAAACGAAAATGTACCAAAAAGTCCTCTTTCTACGTTTCTATAGATTCAAATAATATCAGTTGAGGAACGATTTTCATTCCATTAGGATCGTATATGTCTGTTGTTATGTTTCTAGGTTCAATAATTCAGAAAATCAAAAAAGTACCATTTGAATGACGAAAAAGTATTGAAAAGTTCCCTTTTATAGATTTTCATTCAATCAGTATGCTATAATGTGTTTAATTTTAAAAATGAAAAAGTTCCAAAAAGACCTTTTGAAAAACCAGTACCAGTTGAAAAACGAAAAAAAAAAATACCAAAAAAGTCCTTAGTACCGGAGTTACCACATTAGCATATCTAATGTTACGAAATATATCAATTTTTAAAATTTTATCAAAATTTGCTCAATGAATTTGTATAAAATCAAATTTGCCGATTTTACGCCGTTTCGGTACTTTTATTCCAAAAAATTGCAATATCATAGTGGGCGCCAATCATTAAATATTCATATTCATAAGTTAATAAATAAGACACAAGTTTTTGTGAAAAAAGTACCAAAATAGGCAAAATGGGGTGAACATTAAACTCCCGAATATCCAAAAAGTACTTAGTTTATATTCCTACATTTTTCGATAAGTTACGAATTAATTAAACATCTTATTTCAAGATACAAGGGGTGGCAAAAAAGTACCAAACTATAGTTCCAGACACTTTTCCACTTCTTTTTATACCCTACACCGCTTTAGTGGGGAGGGTATATTGGGTTTGTGCTGATGTTTGTAACATAAACAAATATTCGTCCTATACCCATCTTAAAGTATACCAATCGGCTTAGAATCGTTTTCTGAGTCGATTTACCCTAGCTCCCATACAAAGTCCCCTTCCGAAAATTACTTGAATGTCCAAAATTAACTTATAAACACAAATGTCGCGATGAAATTCAGCACAAATAAATATTATATAAATATAAATATATTCACAAAACTTTTTCGGGCTTGGTCCATATTTGTCCCTAGCCCCCATATAAAGCCATTTTCAGAAAATTAGTTTTTCATCCATAAATTGCTTAAATGTATCGGAACAATGAATTATTATGAAAAATAAATCATATCTAATATTCATAACTGGTGTAGGGTATCATATGGTCGATCACGCTATACTTTTTACTTGTTTTTTAAATAGAACATTGTTCAGACGCAATGTTCATATCAGGACACATATTCTGGGTAAATGATGATCTGGCCAGATTTTAGCAGCTCTTAGAAAGGACTCTTTTAGTCCACATAACAACATTACCTTTGTCATTGGTATAGGTTCGGCTGAAGATACATTTCTTTTATAGCGCTTTGCTTTAGCGGAACTTTTTTCCAAATTAAAGAAGTATAGCAAAACTTTCCGCATACAACGCATTGTTCTATCTGTCCTTCTGTCTATTGAAAGCATAATAAGTCACAAACTTATTATTAAGGTTAGTTTGGCATTAAAAATGGACAACATCGAGCCACGATATCGGTCCATATTCCATCCCAACTGCCATATATGTATGCATGTTCCTCTTCAAAAAATTACTTTAAACATTGCAACTCGCTAAAAATTACTAGTATAAGATTGAAAATCTCTTCCAAATTTCATGACGAATCTTCTATAAAAACATTTCGTTTAATATTTATATAAGGATAGATCCACTCAAGTCTTTATATAGAGCCATCCGATTGTTATGATTGTACGTAAAATAATACAACACTACTCTCGAGAGCTTATTGTACTCATCACCCATATTTTCTTGCTTTCATATGTGAGAGAGCCCGATTTTTTATAAAGTAATTTTCTTCAAAATTGTGTCGCTATAGTTCTATTATCAATTGGGGGATTTCAGGTCAAATGACCCAAATTTTTAAACGAATGTCTTTCGGAAGGAACCAAATTTAATTTTATTTAATAGTCATTAGATACAATATTTCAATATGTAAAGAACTCTCTAAGTTACAGTGGGTCAAAGTTTTTTTTGCATCGTAAAACATCCATGTATTTATGAGATTTAACCGATATTATGGAGGACATTTAAATTTTTAGGTAAATTTATGGACCAATATGAAAAAACTTACCACTTTAACTTATAAAGTTAATAAAAATTAATCAACATTACACTACTTTTATTTTTCTAAATCAATTTTATTTTTTATAAATTTCTTACACACTAATTAAGCTAAACAACTTAAAAACATACAATATTTCCTCTAAAGAGAAAAATATGTAAAATTACATTGTACTAATTAAATATTACATTAAAACATAACTTAAAACAAAAATTTCTAACAGCTAACAAACATTTCAATCCATGTTTAGAAAACCAATTATGGAAGGTATCTGCAAATAGACAAATAGAAATAAGGAAATTGTTAATAAAATTGTAAAACAACAAAAAGATAAAGATAAAAAACAAAATAATTATTAATTGTATTAAGCGTAACAAAGGTGAGGGCATAATTATTTATGGTTTTTTTATACAAATTTATTAAACTTGTACTTGTTATTGCCAGATTAAGCGTGTTGTTGGACTAAAAACACTAAATAAATAAAAAAAACGTTTCATTAAAATGTTGTCAATGTGACACATATTTAGTTTTAACACATGATTTCGCGGCACATTGTTTGAATATTTTATGTTGCACATTGTACTGTGGGCATGTTTAAAATAAAAAAAAAAATATTTTTTAAGTTTTATTATTATTGTTAAAATGTTAAATTAAGCGCCCTGAACCTGAACTTTTTAAAATGGGAAATATATTATGAATGAAACGTTTTATTATTATTATTGTTATTATAAATAAAGCCATTCATTCCATAATAGTTGAAAATGTGAATGAACTGTCATTATGATTAATTATTGTAATTATTTTTATTAAAAATTTAATAGAGTTGTATAAACTCATCTGATCTTGATTGGAAAAAATACTTAAGAAAGAGGTTTATAATAGGGACCCCAAACTTGATCATATTAGGACTAAAATCTAATCTATAGTCTAGGCTATATTCTGTTCTATAGTCTAGTATGTGGCCTATAGTCTAGTATATAGTCTAGTCTATAGTCTAGTATATAGTCTAGTCTATAGTCTAGTCTATAGTCTAGTATATAGTCTAGTCTATAGTTTAGTCTATAGTCTAGTCTATAGTCTAGTCTATAGTCTAGTCTATAGTCTAGTCTATAGTCTAGTCTATAGTCTAGTCTATAGTCTAGTCTATAGTCTAGTCTATAGTCTAGTCTATAGTCTAGTCTATAGTCTAGTCTATAGTCTAGTCTATAGTCTAGTCTATAGTCTAGTCTATAGTCTAGTCTATAGTTTAGTCTATAGTCTAGTCTATAGTATAGTCTATAGTCTAGTCTATAGTCTAATCTATAGTCTAGTCTATAGTCTAGTCTATATTCTAGTCTATATTCTAGTCCATATTCTAGTCTATATTAGTCTATAGTCTGTCTATAGTCTAGTCTATAGTCTAGTCTATAGTCTAGTCTATAGTCTAGTCTAGTCTAGTCTATAGTCTAGTCTATAGTCTAGTCTATAGTCTAGTCTATAGTCTAGTCTATAGTCTAGTCTATAGTCTAGTCTATAGTCTAGTCTAGTCTAGTCTATAGTCTAGTCTATAGTCTAGTCTATAGTCTAGTCTATAGTCTAGTCTATAGTCTAGTCTATAGTCTAGTCTATAGTCTAGTCTATAGTCTAGTCTATAGTCTAGTCTATAGTCTAGTCTATAGTCTAGTCTATAGTCTAGTCTATAGTCTAGTCTATAGTCTAGTCTATAGTCTAGTCTATAGTCTAGTCTATAGTCTAGTCTATAGTCTAGTCTATAGTCTAGTCTATAGTCTAGTCTATAGTCTAGTCTATAGTCTAGTCTATAGTCTAGTCTATAGTCTAGTCTATAGTCTAGTCTATAGTCTAGTCTATAGTCTAGTCTATAGTCTAGTCTATAGTCTAGTCTATAGTCTAGTCTATAGTCTAGTCTATAGTCTAGTCTATAGTCTAGTCTATAGTCTAGTCTATAGTCTAGTCTATAGTCTAGTCTATAGTCTAGTCTATAGTCTAGTCTATAGTCTAGTCTATAGTCTAGTCTATAGTCTAGTCTAGTCTAGTCTATAGTCTAGTCTATAGTCTAGTCTATAGTCTAGTCTATAGTCTAGTCTATAGTCTAGTCTATAGTCTAGTCTATATTAGTCTATAGTCTAGTCTATAGTCTAGTCTATAGTCTAGTCTATAGTCTAGTCTATAGTCTAGTCTATAGTCTAGTCTATAGTCTAGTCTATAGTCTAGTCTATAGTCTAGTCTATAGTCTAGTCTATAGTCTAGTCTATAGTCTAGTCTATGTAGTCTATAGTCTAGTCTATAGTTCTGTCTTTATTCTAGCCTATAGTCTAGTCTATATTTTAATCTATAGTCCAGTCTATACTCTATTCAATTGATTCGTCAAGTCTTGCCAATAGTCTACTATATAGTGGGAACCATATAAGAATTTATATTCGGGTGTGTAGTCGGTACTACATAATAGTATATACCCACAACTATTGTCTAGTATATATATAATTGGAACTAGACTAGGTTGTAGGCTAGTTTATAGTACTGACTTTACATATTCATATTTATAGTCTAGATCAGGGGTCGGCTAACTTTTGAGTCGGAAGAGCCAAAAATTACAGTTTACAAAACATATGTTTTAAAAGAGCCACAAAATTGTTGTTTATTAAAACTTTACAAATACTTTATGAATTCACTTCAAAAACATAAACTTGGTTTAATTATCTACAGGACATTCTGCAAGGAATCTTACATATAGATTTTTGACTACAAATACTTTTTGAATTTATATGAGTCATTCGAATGCATTTTTTAAGCACTCGTTATATAAAAATATAGAAGTTTATTAGAGTAGGGCGACAGTGTTATCATTTAAAAGGCATTTGGAAACATATCAGGAAATGTAAAAATCACGAAAATTGATGACGCAGCTAATACAGTATAAAGTAATATATTATTTTGGCGGCAATCGAGATAAATATTTTACCAACCCCAATATTAGGTCATTTTCAGAAAATGACTAACGATCATAATTGACTTAACAGTAGCAATATAGCGGCGAAATTCAAAATATACAAGTTTTATAAGAACAAATATCTATCTTCCAAATTTGATTTTAACGTTCATAACTGTCTTAGTAATAGCAATATTATGACAAAATTCAACACAAACAAAACATAATTGACAAATCCCCTTTTAAAAGGTCTACTTCGGAAAATAACTTTAACGTTCATAACTGATTTAATAATACATATTAGTATAGCGACGCAATTCGACACAAACAAGTATTATATGAACGAAAATCTCTCTCCAAAATTTTGTAAGGATCAGTTCATTGTTGACCATACCCCCATATAAATTCCTCTTCAGGAAATGACTTCAACGCTCATAACATGCTTAATAATACCAGCATAGTGGTGAAATTCGTCATAAACAAGTTTATAGGAACAAATATATCTATACCAAATTTAATAAGGATGGATTCAGAATTGACCCTACCCACCCATATAGTGTCCACGAAAACGACGAAAAATACAAGTATAGTGATGAAAATCAACACAAACAAGTAGGGTCCAAAATCTCATTACCAAATTTTGTAAGGATGTGTCGGTCCATAATACACTGTAAAACGTTTCTAAAACGCGCAATATTTAAATATTGAAGTTTTTAAATAGAACAAGTTTTTAGTATTTACCCAGCCAAAAATTCGGTAATAGGTTGTACTTCCATAACCACTTACTTTTCAATGACTACTACTTACCGTCTGCATTACTTAGAAGTATTCTAGTAATAACTTTCTTATAATCTGATATAGAAGTACTTTATTTTCGGCATTGCCATTTTTTTTGTCGTTTTAAGTATTGTGTTTTACAAAAAATAAAACAAAATTAATTTTGATGTGAAAACCATTATTTGATGCGCAATAAAATATCTATGCAGTGTAGAACATTTGACTAAAAAATCGAAGTCCATGGTTCGTATCCTAGCTGGCTCTTTTTATTATTAAAAAACAAAACAACTTACTCAACAACTGTTTTGTAAGAGAAATTGCTATTACTTCTTTAACTTCCTATTAGTAAGCGTGCGTAGAAGTACTTGCCTCCAATGACATCACCATGTTAAAATAATGACTTAAAATGCTAATGAAGAAGTAGTGAAAATAGGTTTTATTAGCTTTTTAACTCACTACTTTTCAATGTAAGTTTTTCCTGGGTAACTGTGTCCAAACTCTCTACATTATTAAGTAATTATTTAATTACTATATTTTCAATTTCCAAAAAATATTTTTAATTCGAAAAACACGAAAATTTCGGAATGTATGATCATGTTTTACATTTTATCTAATGGCACTTCGTAGGAGCGCTCATGATACCCCATCGTTTATAGGGAACTTTTCAACTAAAAATTTAAAGAATTAAACATTTTCTTACAATACTAACTTGTACATGGAACAAATTCAATAGGAGAGATAGATTTGTATAGCTTTAGAAAGTTTGGATCATAACTTGTTGTTTAAAGTTTCACAAACGACTCTAAACTTTCATTTGTTAGTTGTCTCACATGCAGAAGGATTAAACAAAGTTGAAATGTTGTGTATATTGTAGAAACGTATGCGAATTGTTTTTTATGAGTTTTAACAAACACTGCTCGTTAATCTATTCAGAAAGATTTTAATATATGTATATATTTTTTTTATAAAATAAAAAAATTACGTATGAAACTAAAGAGCCATAGCTCCACATCCAAAGAGCCGCATTTGGCTCGCGAGCCGTAGTTTGCCGACCCTTGGTCTAGATTATAGTCGGGTCAGTAGTCTATTGTCTCGACTATAGTCGGGAGTATATTCTAGTTCAAAGTGAGGACTAAAATTTAGTCGATAATGAAAACTATAGTTTTTAGCTTACAATTAAAAGCAATTATTTAGGCATAGCAAAACATCATACAACCTGCGGGTGTAACTGTCAAAAAACTTTCAATAGGTTTGCACAATTGGTTATGATTTATTTTTGGGCGTTTTACTAGTTTACGGAGTCTATTAACTCTAAAAAATATTACCTTTGCTTAAACTTTTTTATACCAAAAAATATTTCAACAAACATTCAAACAGCACGTAATATATGAAATTATTAGATTTTGTTTTTCCAAATTAAATCTATAATTATATTTTCTTAAAAAAAATAATAAATCTAAAGCAAATTCATTCTAGAAAAGGGTTTAACTACAGTTGAAATAAATATAAGTAATTGTATGATATCGAACTTGTTTACAAGCCTGTCATAAGATATGACTTAAGTCGTATAATTTTATGCTTGGTTAAACACCTTTACTAATGTTATTACTAGCTAAGTTTAACAAATATTAAAAGTTAGTTGACTTAGGTCCATATTTCTCTATTAACTAAAAACTAGAAACACTCAAAATTTAGCAAATATGTATAAAAAGTTTTATTTTTAATACTACAAACAAATTAAAAGTATTAGAGTATCTTTACAGATTGCAAACATTAAGGCTAGTCACTGACTAGTATATTAAGATATTGTTAAGAAAAAAGTTTAAATAGAAAGAGACTACTCAAGAGACTAGATTATTTCACGGACTAAGCTATAGTCTAGGCTATAGATTAAAAGATCGATGATTTTTGAAAAAGCTTGCACTATCTAACTAACTAACCAACTAACTAACTAACTAACTAACTAACTAACTAACTAACTAACTAACTAACTAACTAACTAACTAACTAACTACTAACTAACTAACTAACTAACTAACTAACTAACTAACTAACTAACTAACTAACTAACTAACTAACTAACTAACTAACTAACTAACTAACTAACTAACTAACTAACTAACTAACTAACTAACTAACTAACTAACTAACTAACTAACTAACTAACTAACTAACTAACTAACTAACTAACTAACTAACTAACTAACTAACTAACTAACTAACTAACTAACTACTAACTAACTAACTAACTAACTAACTACTAACTAACTAACTAACTAACTAACTAACTAACTAACTAACTAACTAACTAACTAACTAACTAACTAACTAACTAACTAACTAACTAACTAACTAACTAACTAACTAACTAACTAACTAACTAACTAACTAACTAACTAACTAACTAACTAACTAACTAACTAACTAACTAACTAACTAACTAACTAACTAACTAACTAACTAACTAACTACTAACTAACTAACTAACTAACTAACTAACTAACTAACTAACTAACTAACTAACTAACTAACTACTAACTAACTAACTAACTAACTAACTAACTAACTAACTAACTAACTAACTAACTAACTAACTAACTAACTAACTAACTAACTAACTAACTAACTAACTAACTAACTAACTAACTAACTAACTAACTAACTAACTAACTACTAACTAACTAACTAACTATATAAGATTTGTGCTTAATCTGTGAATACCCTAAATGTGTCAACAATTCATTTTTAAACATCACTATTAATTATTTCACAAATTCGTAAAAATCATCAAATTATTACAAAAAAACAATAGTATTTACAAAATTAAATATTCACCAAAAGGGGTAAATGAACTTTGTAATGTGATTCAAAACCAAAATAGAATTGGACCAGTTTATTACAAAAAAAAAACAATTTATTTTAAATTTTATTGTTATTATTATTTACGTTTCCCAAGTGATTGTATAACGATTATTTTATTATTAAACAAAGAGTATTGATTTAGAATTTCCGCATATTTAAAACTATTATAATTAAACACTTTTGAAATTTGTGGCGTCACTTTTAACTCGTTTTCTTTGTATTATTAGTTATTAGCTATTTAGTTTTTGCTATGTTTGATTTGAAAAATAATTTAATTTAGTTATTTACTTGATTCTTTTTTTATTTATGTTAAGCAGTTTTTTTGTTTATTCCTAATATTCAAAATAAAGTATACAAAAATCATTCAACATAATTGATAGTTGTTTATTTCAAAATTTCAAATATTCTTCCGTATTGAAAAAAAGGTTTGACCAGTGGTTTTTTGCGTTGTTTTATCGTATTTTTGTTTTAAACCACATTCGATTTTTTTTGCTTGAAAGTTACGAAAAAAAAAGATATAAAATACAAGATGATATGATAGTTTGAAATGATTATCTATCTCTAGCTAATATCTGTTTATTCATACCTTGACTATGGTCAAGGTGAAAAAGAGATTTTATTCGTTTTGTAAACTAAAATCTTTGTGTTTTATTATTTATTTGTTTTAATTAAAAGATTTATTAGTTTAATTAAGCATAAAATGTATGTGGTTATAGGAATATAAGGGCAAATTTATTTAAGGGCTAGGAGGAAGTAATAGAAATAGAACTCGTTTAAAAAGTTTGAATCTAAATGTTTATTCGTTAGTTTTATATATTCCTCACCACCATATTGGGTAGGGGAATGTATGGCTAGTGCTAATATTTATAATGTACGGAAATAATACTCCCATATTATACTCAATACTTGATTACTAGTCGCAATTGACCATATTGACTACATTTTCATTTTTGTTTTGATTTCTATATGTACTTCCTTGTTCTATGGGTTCTAAAAAGGGCGTTCTCATGTCTGTCAATATGTTTATATTTTCAAAATAATACATAGACATACAAATTTTTATGACGAAATAATCTATTGTCAAAATTTTGTAAGAATATTTCTTTTTTTGCAGTTAGTAATTAGCTCATAGGTTCTAATTAAATTCATATAATAAAATTTGTTCCATGTGTTAACATTTGTTATGAAGAAAAAAATATTCTTAAAAGTTAAAATATCAAGTGTTTTTTATTTTGTAATAAATTTAAATTTACGCAAATTTATAATCTAGATCTAGTTATGTTCTTTTGTCCGTCCGTCTGTCTGTCCGTCTGTCTGTCTGTCTGTCTGTCTGTCTGTCTGTCTGTCTGTCTGTCTGTCTGTCTGTCTGTCTGTCTGTCTGTCTGTCTGTCTGTCTGTCCGTCTGTCTGTCTGTCTGTCTGTCTGTTTGTCTGTCCGTCTGTCTGTCCGTCTGCATGTCTGTCTGTTCAGTATACTAATTATAAGACCAAAATAGGAAAGGCTATGGGCTAGAATTTTTAACAAATGTTTCCTGTTCATAAAGTTTTGTATAGAAAATAGTCCACGTCGATTCAAACGAATAACCATTGACAAACAAAATGTCATAACTTCGATATTAAAAACCAATTACAACTCTACAAGACCTAAAAGAACACAATATAAGGACATTTAGTTGAAAACTTTTCGGCGAAAAATTTAAGTTTAAGACGATATTTCCACCGTTGGTAAGCTATGAAACATATAGCCACTATATTCGCGAGAATAATTGGTAATGCAAGTGCATATAAGTGAAGGAACTTAAAAGTTCACCTGACAAATGCAAAAATATTCGAGTCAACGATAGCGGATCTTCAAGCATGATGGTCGAGAGAATCCCACTCAACCATATAGAATAATGGATCGATTGGTAGGCTCACAAAAATCTTCTTGGGTAACCCAAACAAATGAAGAATGAGAAGTCTCTTCAATGGCAGCATGTCTGAAGTTAGTCTGATGGTAGTCAGAATATACTACACATACAGCACTATGAGCTCAATTTCATCAAATTGGAACATCGAATTTTAACTAATGCAGAGCATGTGATTAGGATAGTGAAACACTGTAACAGTTTCTCTGACATCAGCAAGTTTTGTCGAAATTAAATCCAAAAAGTTTGTAAGTTTGTCATACGACAATTCCGCTTAAAGGGATGTAATGGAATGAAAAAGAGACCAGATAGATAACTACCTCGGTATATATCTTTATGATATCTTCCTTCTCAACCTATCTCAACCTCAATCTACCCATCAAAAACTTACATTGAAAAGTAATGAATTAAAGTGCTAAAAAGCCAGTAAAAAGCGACTTATTCATTAGCATTTTAACTCATTATTTTAACACGGTGATGACATTACAGGCAAGTACTTACCACGCTCACTTATAAATCACTACTAAGTACTTACAAATAAGGAGTTAAAAAGTTGTTTTGTTTTAAGAACAAAAAAATGCTCACACAGAATACGCAATTTAATAAAATGTGCAAATAATACGGCAAAACTCAAAATAAAGTACTTACTTATCTGATTATATGTAAGACAATATAAGAGTAGTTAAAAGTAATGCAGGCGGTAAGTAGTAGTTATTGAAAAGTAAGTGGTTATATAAGTATGTGCATGTCATTACTGAGTTTTTGCTGGGTAGTTGAAGTTTTTACCCGTTTACTCCATAAAAGGACTAAATTAAAAAAAAAACTCCTTTTCTTTCAAAATATGATCATGAAAAGCTTGAAAATTAAATCAATTGACATCACTGCTATTTTTAAGAGTTTTTAAATATTTATTTTTATTCTTTCATATTAACGACCAAATAAATTATGAAATCATCAAATACAATAATTTGTTAAATCTTTAACATATTGTTTAAACAAACATTTATTTGCAAAATAAATAAATAAAATATTTTAACTCAAATTTTTATATTTTTGTTAATGTTTGGTACTAAATTTTTCTAACGTTTTCTCGTACTATTTATTTAGTAGCATTAAAAAATAACGGTTAAATTTTAATTATTTATTTAAATATAATTGTTTAGAATTTTAAATCATAAACTTTTTTAAGACTATAATTTAAAAATGTGGAACAAATTTTTTTGTTAAACAAACAATAAAGAATTTATTAACAATTAACACTTTAACCCGACTAATCCCCGGATATTTAAAACTAAAGTTCAAGTTCAAAAATATTTGCATAAAATCATTACATACACAAGTATATGAAATTATAGTGAACTTTTTAATAAAAAAAATGTTTTACAAAACCCACCTTCGAATCGATATCCTCTTCAGGATCTTCATGTTGATAGTAAACCGAACTTATAAATGTGGAGGAAAACATTTTGTTTATAGATTTCTCTTTATATAAATGTAATAACTTTAAAATTTGTAATTTAAAAAATGTTTTAATTTGTTTTTTATTTTAGTTACACACTAAAATGATTTGCACTATAATGGCGTAAATGGTCATGTTTAGAACTTTTTTTCTTCTCGATTTTATTATGATTTCGATTACGAAAATTTTATAAAAATTGTGTTTTATATGTTGTGTTTTTTTGCGTTTGTCTAATCTTTACGAATACGTTCACGTTCAGTGAACAACGTCAGAACAATAACTAACTTTAAAACTGTGTTTAGGATTGAAATTAAACAACTGCTCTGTTGTTACTCTTTAGAAGAACAAAAAAAAAAATCAAAAACAAAATGTTTAAATATTTTGCCAATATTTGTGCGACTGTATGTGTGAATTAAACTTCACTCAAATTATTTTATTCAAGTTTAAATTTATTTTTATTCTGAGTTGAAAACTATTTTTTATTCATAACGTTTTTTTTTCTATAGCAAAAGAATATGTAAACAAAGTGATGTATACGTACAGGCAAGGACATAAAAATAGCACTGATAATTTTTTGATAATTTTAAATATTTAAAAAAAGTTAGATAAATAAATTTCCTTTTGAAAATATTCTTCAATATAAAGTTTTTTGTAAATTTTTCATCTATTGAAAAGTTTTCTAAAATATAGAAAGTTTTTGCTAAATCTTCTTCAATATAGACAAGTAAGAAAGTATAGTCGGGCGAGGCCGACCATATGATACCCTACACCAGTTATGAATATTAAATGTGATTTATTTTTCATAGTAAAGCATTTATTTTCAATATTCCCTTGTTCCGATGCATTTAAGCAATTTATGGATAAAAAACTAATTTTCTGAAAGAGGCTTTATATGGGGGCTAGGGGCAAATATGGACCAAGCCCGATAAAATTTTGTGAATATATTTATATTTACATAATATTTTATTGTGCTGAATTTCATCGCGATATTTGTGTTTATAAGTTAATTTGGGACATTCAAGTAATTTTCTGAAGGGGACTTTGTATGGGAGCTAGGGTCAAATGGGGCCCGATCTTTATGAAATTTGGCAGGGTCATCAAGACTTCTATAAAACTTAGTTGTGACGTATTTTATCGATATATCTGTATATTTAACATAATTATGAGCTCAGAAGCCCTTTTCGGGGGGTTCTGTTCTATGGGGGCTAGGTGAAATAATGGACCGATTTCAACCATTTTCAATAGGCTTCGTCCTTGAGTCAAAAAAAGAGTGTGTGCCAAATTTCATCCAATTATCTTGAAAATTGCGACCTGTACCTTGCGCACAAAGTTTACATGGACAGCCAGCCAGACGGACGGACGGACGGACATAGCTTAATCGACTCAGAAAACGATTCTAAGCCGATTGGTATACTTTAAGGTGGGTCTAGGATGAATATTTTTGTATGTTACAAACATCAGCACAAATCCAATATACCCTCCCCACTAAAGTGGTGTAGGGTATAAACATTTTTTCAAAATTTTTCTTAAAAAGGAAATTTATGCATAATTTTCTTTAATATAGAAAATTTTTGCTAAATTTTCTTCATTATAGGAAAATTTTCTTCAAAATAGAAATTTTTCGTAAATTTTCTATAAATATAAAAAAATTTCTTCAAAATATAAATTTTTTTAAAAGAAAAATTTTAGCTAAATTTTTTGAATAGAAAATTTTTTGCAAAATTTTTTTTCATATTTATTTTTGCTAAATTTTCTTCTCTAGAAATTTGTTACTAAATTTTCTTCTTTAGAAAATTTTTGCAAAATTTTCTTTTATAGAAAATGTTTGCAAAATTTTCTTCTATAGAAAATGTTTGCAAAATTTTCTTATATAGAAAATTTTTCCTAAATTTTATTTTTTCTTCTACAGAAATTAGTTAGTTTAGTTAGTTAGTTAGTTAGTAGTTAGTTAGTTAGTTAGTTAGTTAGTTAGTTAGTTAGTTAGTTAGTTAGTTCGTTAGTTAGTTAGTTAGTTAGTTAGTTAGTTAGTTAGTTTGTTAGTTAGTTAGTTAGTTAGTTAGTAGTTAGTTAGTTAGTTAGTTAGTTTGTTAGTTAGTTTAGTTAGTTAGTTAGTTAGTTTTAGTTAGTTAGTTAGTTAGTTAGTTTAGTTAGTTATTTTAGTTAGTTAGTTATTAGTTAGTTAGTTAGTAGTTAGTTCGTCGTTAGTTCGTTCGTTATTGTTCGTTTCGTTAGTTAGTTTCGTTCGTTAGTTCGTTAGTTAGTTAGTTAGTTAGTTCGTTCGTTCGTTCGTTCGTTTCGTTCGTTCTTTCTTTTCGTTCGTTCGTTCGTTCGTTCGTTCGTTCGTTTCGTTCGTTCGTTCGTTCGTTCGTTCGTTCGTTCGTTCGTTCGTGTTCGTTCGTTCGTTCGTTCGTTCGTTCGTTCGTTCGTTCGTTTTCGTTCGTTCTTCGTTCGTTTTCGTTTTGTGTTCGTTCGTTCGTTCGTTCGTTTCGTTCGTCTTTCGTTTTCGTTCGTTCGTTCGTTCGTTCGTTCGTTCGTTTCGTTCGTTCGTTCGTTCGTTCGTTCGTTCGTTTCGTTCGTTCGTTCGTTCGTTCGTTCTTCGTCGTTCGTTCGTTCGTTCGTTCGTTCGTTCGTTCGTTCGTTCGTTCGTTTTCGTTCGTTCGTTCGTTCGTTCGTTTCTTCGTTCGTTCGTTCGTTCGTTCGTTCGTTCGTTCGTTCGTTCGTTTCGTTCGTTCGTTCGTTCGTTCGTTCGTTCGTTCGTTCGTTCGTTCGTTCGTTCTTCGTTCGTTCGTTCGTTCGTTCGTTCGTTCGTTCGTTCGTTCGTTCGTTCTTCGTTCGTTTCTTTCGTTCGTTCGTTCGTTCGTTCGTTTCGTTCGTTCGTTCGTTCGTTCGTTCGTTCGTTCGTTCGTTCGTTCGTTCGTTCGTTCGTTCGTTCGTTCGTTCGTTCGTTCGTTCGTTCGTTTTCGTTCGTTCGTTCGTTCGTTCGTTCGTTCGTTCGTCGTTCGTTCGTTTGTTCGTTCGTTCGTTCGTTCGTTCGTTCGTTCGTTCGTTCGTTCGTTCGTTCGTTCGTTCGTTCGTTCGTTCGTTCGTTCGTTCGTTCGTTTCGTTCGTTCGTTCGTTCGTTCGTTCGTTCGTTCGTTCGTTCGTTCGTTCGTTCGTTCGTTCGTTCGTTCGTTCTTCGTTCGTTCGTTCGTTCGTTCGTTAGTTAGTTAGTTAGTTAGTTAGTTAGTTAGTTAGTTAGTTAGTTAGTTACTTAGTTACTACTTAGTTGTTGGTCGGTTGGTTCGTAGCTTCATTGGTTGTCAGCTGCTACTTTTTTAATCACATCGTAATCTCTCCTTCTTCGCTTTATTAACATGGCAAATTAGTGCTCTAGTCTTTGTTGTGGCTTTTTATAACAAACTGGTTTGCTCAGAATAGCAAATCCAGCAACAACTACAACTCTTTAAACCAATTTGTTAAAGTCAAGTAAATGTTGCTCTTAACTCAAGCAGAAAAAAACGACTCAGAACTTTGTGGTGGACGGTGGTAATAAACTCGTAACTAGTATTTTTACAGCTAACTAGTATAAGTAAATATATCTCTAGTTAACATGCTAAGTTTGAGTACTTTTATTGGTACATAACAATTGTTTTTAAAAGAATCTTGCTATTAGATTCTCTATAAAGATTTTACAGTTAAAGTTTATGGTCAAGGTTAAATTTTCGATTAATTTAATTTATTTTTATTTAACGTATTTTGTTTAGCAAATATACAAACATATGTAGTTTTTAACATAAGTTTAAATAAATACGTATTTGTTTTAATTTAGAACAACCTTGTCAAACGTTTTGGCAAGTAGTCGTTTGGTGTTGGCCTTTAAAATGTTTTGTTGCAACATTTCTGGCTTGAATATTAATAAATTTAAAAAAAGTATTTATTTGGAATCTTAATAATTATAGTATTTAAATTAATTCTTTGTAAGCAATAGCTTAAGAGTTTATTATGAAATTGTGTTTAGTGTTAAGTGTTGAAAATTATTAATTATGTTGTACAAATTTCTTAAACTATGATGATGATCTAAACATCAATAAATAATTTAAAATTGAACATAAATATTTTATTAAAATTCTAAAAGTCAAATCGCAATTTAAATATTCTCAGAACTAGTGTATATAGGTTGGACCAGCCAACCTTTCCCATTTGTTTCGTATTGGCTTTGACATTTACTCAAATTTTAAAACAGATTTTAACAACAAGTTGTAAAACAAGATTATTTCAAACCTCAAATTTAGTATGATGGCAATTATCTTTCAAGTAATTACTTTTTTGTAAGCGAAAAAAAATGTTCTAGTAATTGAGTCATTTAAAAAAATTGCCACAAAACAAATAATTAAACCAATTTTTAGCAACCAATTAAAAACACAAACAACTCTCAAAAACATTTTCTTTAGAACCCAGCTAAAAATTTCAAAAATTCAGAACACTAATTACAATTTCAACAAATCACAGTTTAAAAATTTATTTCATATAAACAATCACAACATAGTCCAATTTCCATTTAGGCCTTAGCAATGCATACATTAATATTGGCTTGAATATGATCCAATTCTTCAATGGCAACATCGGCAGCCTCATGGGTGCAGGCATCAGCATCGACCATAACAGCAGGTATACGTTCATTGGTGCTCTGCTTAATGGTCTTAATAGATTTGCGAGCATTGTTGATATACAGAGTGGCCTTAATGGTTAAACGGGCATAGCAGGAATTCTTCAATACACTGTTGGTATATCTCTGGCATTTCTGATATGTACGCAAAACATCATAACCATCGAATACCAATTGTTGGGTGGCAGCGCTGATATCAGTCATGATTTCAGCAGAAGACTTGGCAGCTACAGCACCACATACAGTCATTTCCTTGTGCATAGCATCAACGGTGGCCACTACCTTCTCATCTTCAGCTGCTACACAAACATCATTTTCTTCACGCAATTCTTCAATACTTTCGACGGCAGCCTCCACTTGATGCAAAGGATCCAAAACAATTTCCTCAACTTGATGTTGCAGAGCTACAGCAGCCTCTTTAGCAATTTGACCCATTTCATTTATAACATCATCGACCATGCCCTCATAGTTAATGGGTGGTTGGGCAATAGTACCGGCATTTACAGCCACCAAGCACAAGGCAAAAATTGTGAAAATTGTTTTCATTTTATTGGTTTAAAGTTTGTTGTTTAGAATATTGGTAAAAATTTAGCACTGTTCTAATTTCTGAAGGTTTCTTTGTTTTATACTTGAGAATTTTAATGATAAGT